ATGTGACCAACTGGATAAAGTTTTCCAGAATAATGTAATTTAGGTTTTCTAACATGTTTTCAAGTCATTCAGCAAGTGCCTTGAACCTCCTGCTGATTGGTTGAAATCATTGGCCTAAGATGGAGGACAACAGGGCGTGACATAATCCAAACCATTCAACAACACCGTGGACTGACTTACAAAGGTCTTTGTTTCTCAAGTGGACCTGATATATGGGGACCACTACTTTCAGCATTCCTCACTCTAATACCTTCTTGATTTGGAATATTTCAGAATATCGTCAGAGACAAATTCCTTAGCAGTGTCAAATGTTAAGTATATTTCCTCCCTTTCCAGCTTCATAAACTGATCTCCCCAATATTCTATAGGTTTTAGAGTCTTATTGGTTATTATACTTTTTAAATAATTACAAATTAGCTACCAGCTAATGGGTATGTTACTACCATACAGAAATGTGTGAATAATCAATGTAGAACTGTACTTTAATAGTCTTCCTTTGCCTTGCAAAAAGTAAACAAAATAAGTTATCTACACTAGTTCTTTTATAAACAACTCCAGATAAATGAAACTATTCATTATTCCAGAATAAATGGTTTTAGAAGTGCAATTTTTAAGCCTTTATAGACTGGGTCTAAATATTTTTGTGCATGGAATTAAATGCAAATAGTTTCCGACTTCATTTAATATGAATGATACCTAGCATAAGCTAAAAAACATAAACTATGTAGAATAAGAATCCCAATCCTTGGCACCCATTAGAATGATGGTAGTTAATTTTATTATCCCTGGATGGATGTTTAGTGTTCATGTTGGGTGAAAATGATGGGAACTGTAGCCCAATTTGCTTGGAAATTACCAAATTAGCGAAGATTAGATGCAAAGTGTGAATAAATTAAAAGATTTGGTTCTTCCTCATTCTTGCCTGGCAAAATGCAGGTAATAAAACACTAGTTTTGTCCCAGAATATTTCTCTTCATCTGCATTATCTATTTCTCCAAACTATACAAAACTCCAAGAAAGTTCAGCAATTGCTCTTTGCATCAAGGTTGACAAAATCACTTTCATTTAAATTTCTACTTTCCAGTCAGACATGGAAAAATAGCTCAGTACAGATCCCAATTTCTTTTCATATTAGAGAAACTATATCTAAAATATATGTTTTTCATTTATTATAAAAGTAGACTAAAACAGTTTTCAAATTTTGCCAAGCATAGGAAAATATGTTTCTATTTCAAGTTCTACGAGATGTTCATTCATTAATTCAAAACAAGCTGTGTTGTATCTAAATGTTGCATGAACTAATTTAGGTCATTAAAATAACACCTTTTGGCAAAAATTAAAAACACCATATCCTTCTATTTGTATGCCTTTATTTTGGAGCACAACAAAGTGTACTGGTATGTTTCGCTGGCCAGTAGTACATTAGCACTGTATCCTTAGGCACACTGATACATCTTCAGGTATTTGTCCTTATATGTCTGAAGCAGCAAAATTTGGGTAACAACCTAAAGCCATTATATTGTCCAGTTTTAATTTAGTTATGTGTCAATACAGCTATTACGGTTTGTAAATAACGATGGTACTTTGTGTCAAATTACTGTAGTTATACAAATCATTATTAAAACAAACCATGCTTTAGTTCAATGTTCATTATGCCAATTCAGTATTTTCCCCCAAACAGCTACAATTTACCTGGCAAAATATGGCCTTTTTATTCTCTCCAGACAACAACAACCCCCCTTCTTCCCCAAAGTAAAAGGAAGCCATTTCTCTACCTCGGAATCCCAAGATTATTTTGCTATCTCTTCTTCTCTCACTGTAGTATCTTGCCTTCTTCTTGGGCAAGGCAAGAGGTCCAAAGCAGTCATTTGTGAGCATTGAAGGACAATTACTCAAAGAATCTAATTAAAACAAGATTCTATTTCTTCCCATTATGCATGCAAGCTCAGCCTTCTTTTAAAAATTCTGATCTACTCTGTACAGTTTTCGACACTTCAGTAACAAGATATGCCTTAAACTTTATATGTATTAAAAGCCAGGGATAGCAGAAAGTGATAAATAATATACTTGTAGATTCTGGCCTGATTTAATTCCCAAATGTCTGATAAATACAAGTAAAAAATTTCTGTTTAAATTAGGTTGTTGGGAAAAAAAGAATTCCAGGTGTGAGAGAAAAATAACTGAATAGAAAGGAAATTGGAATTGGTTGCTTTTTCTTTAAACTGGTCAGAAATTCCTAGGCTGGCCATGTGCTCAAAATCACCCTGACCTTAATTCCAAACCCACTTGCCAGCCCAAGTTATATTTTGCATATCTAAGAATTCAAATGATAGCTCTTAGGTTTCACACCACTAATGCTGCTCACCCCACAACAGAGAGACTGCTTTCAGAATTGGAACTTCTCCTGGATTAGCAAAAGCTGTCATTTGGTGTCAGCTAAAAATGTCACAGGTAGTCCTTGACTTACAACCATAATTGAGCCCAAAATTTCTGTTGTTAAGTGAGAGATTTGTTAAGTGAGTTTTGCCCCCTTTTATGACCTTTCTTGCCACAGTTGTTAATTGAATCACTGCAGGCATTAAATTAGTAACCCAATTGTAAAGTGAATCTGGTTTCCCATTGACTTTGCTTGTCAGAAGGCTGCACACTGCAACCATCATAAATATGAATCAGTTGCCAATAATCTGAATTTTGATCACGATCACATAGCCACGGGGATGCTGCAAAGACCGTAAGTGTGAACAACTTTTTTTCAGTGCTGTTGTAACTTTGAATGGTCACTAAATGAACTGTAATAAGTTGAGGACCACCTGTATTTTCTTGGTGGCTATAGATCAGAGACCAGGATCATGAGATCAGGGAAGGCTTTTTAAGGGAGTTGTTTTAAGTTTGGGAATGTATAAATTTAAATGGGTTTTTTGGGGGGGTGGGGGGTCCCCTGTAAGCAAAAGGTGGATACTTTATGGAGAGAACTGCCAAATCATAGGAGAGATTCCCTCTTGAAATGTCTCAAAGTTTCCGCCAGTGTTAGGGGAAAGAAAGACAGAAAGAAAGAAAGAAAGAAAGAGAGAGAGAGAGAGAGAGAGAGAGAGAGAGAGAGAGAGAGAGAGAAAGAAAGAAAGAAAGAAAGAAAGAAAGAAAGAAAGAAAGAAAGAAAGAAAGAAAGAAAGAAAGAAAGAAAGAAGTTGGTGGGTGGGTTTGTGAGTGGGTGGGAGCCTGCCTTTTGATTGGCAATACATAACTAATCTCTCCGGAAACAGCTACAGAGCCCCTGCCCACCAACTTGAATTTCTAAAGCAGAGCAGAAGTTACATCCTCGCCTAGAGAAGAGGGCTCCCCGCGAAAAGAACCAGAAGGCCGGGTAAGCGCTCCCTTCGGACGAGCCCCACAGAAAAGAGCCATTGCTACCGAGGGATGCTGTGGCCCTAGAAGCGCCTACTAGGACTGCCGAGCTCTCGCCCACTCGCGGCTGCCCACCCTCTGCTTGCCAGCCGCTCCGTGGGGGCAGCCGCGGGGTCAGCAGAGGCAGGCGGTGTAAGCCGTACGAGGGGCGACAGCGCGCGTGGCCCCTGGGTTCCGGGACCCCGACCGAGCTTCTCTTGCGGGGGTCAGGAAGCCTCGGGCTGTGGCCGGGGAGGAAAGAGGGGAAAAGCCGCTTACTCCATCCGGCCGCCAGAACAACATTGAAAAAGGTTGCGGTGCGGTGGAGGGGCGGGTGGGCTCGCCTCCCGCTTCTCTTCCGCGCTCTAGTAGTTCATGGCGCCCGATTCCACCTACTCGACTCCCGCAACCACGGAGGGGGGGGGGGAAACCTCCAGAGCGGGTTGCTAGGCAGGCCGTGTTCGTGACTCGTCAGTCCGCGCGGCGTCGGAAGATGCAACTTTCCCTTAAGGGGTGGAGGACTTTTTTTTCTCTTGTTGCGGGCGGGGAACAACCTTTTGGAGAAATTCCGGCGAGGGCTGCAACTTGGCATCATCATCATCAACAAAAACAACATCAACAAACAAGGCTTGAAGGCGAGCGAGTGGGCAGAGGGCCACACGCGTACACCCGTTTGTATGGTGCAGAAAGAGAGTTTGCAGAAGCCGGAATGTAAGAGAATATAATGGGGAGTAGAGTAGAGCGAGAACCAGAGCAAGAGTCGCCCACCAACTTCCAAATAGCTGGCATCTTGTTTGACTTCTTCAGTGCTAGAGGTACAAATTCTTAACCCCTGACCTTCTTCCTTCCATTATTATAAATTCCATTCATTGCATCCACTTCAGTTTCCTCTAAGACTTTCTGGCCACGAAGTTCGGAAAGTGCCTTTCAAACTTTCTCAGCTGCCTCCTTCAAATAAATTCAGCTTTGAACCATGTTTTGAAATGGTTCTGCAATCTACCAACAATCTGCAAGGATGTTTTTTAAGAATAACCACGTCCCTTTAAACACAGACACTGCCCCATTCAAACCTTGCTCAGTTTTCTACATTTGTTTTGTTTGCTTTAAAACTGTGTGGGGAAATACAGTGCATGTTAAAGCATTGGGATTCTCTCTTCATATACTTAATCACAGCATTAACTTTAATGCCAATCTTGTCAATTAAGGAGTATACCTGTCCTGGTAGCACTATTCTTCAGCTCTTTTATTGTGAAACTTTTCACAATTACATTTTATAGCAATATGGACTTTTTTATCTATACACCCCCTCTTTTAAAATAATGTGTTTTGCTAAGCAGAATTTTTGACTCATTCCATCTATTTGCATGATCCTGTTGTTCTTTACAAGGCCCTTCTGTTAGTCTATTTTCTGAGAATTTGGACATAAACAAAAAGGTAATTGGGGACAGGGTGAAAGTGGAGAAAAATTATCGATTTTAATTCACTTTGTAAAATTTAACACCCAGAGAGTTAAAATAAAATACAGGAGGAGCATATTTGAATATCCAATGCTGTGGGGGGAAATTCCAAATAAGATAAACATAAGGAATACCGGGTGAAAATATATTATAAAGCTTTACCTGGACATGGTAATCTCAGCTTGAGGGCTCTGGGATTTCTCCAGTCCCAGTTTGGTGAAGATACCCACCAGCACCATGATGGCTACCACACCACAAATAATGTATACAATCATGTTGGTCTTGTCCTTGGTAGGATTCTGAGGAGTCTCATCCACTCGAGGTGGTGGTTGGCCTGTGTTGACCCATTCTGGTGTCTCATAATTCGAACAACCACTTTGATCAAGTTTTCCACTTGTGAATTGGCAGCAGAAGCGGTAACCACAAGTTCCACAGCAAAAATTGTAGATCCCCGAATTGCAGTTAAATGGAGGATCCCACTGGCCCATCACATCGTAATAACCAAGGCACCGCTCTCCCCCAGAGATGGACTCTGTGGGGGCTACAATGGTGTCCTCCAAGATGGGACCCGAAGTGGCATTGTCTTTGACCTCCACCTGCAGTTCTGGCTCAGGTTTCTGAGGATTAAGTGTTCCAGTCCAAACTTGTCCTGGGTCCATAAGAACTAAGCAATAGAATCCAAAAATACACCTTTCCATCTGTATGCCACTCCAGCTCCTACTAAAATGGCTTTCTCTATCCCAGACTAACTTACACAATAGAGGAGACCTTGTTTTATTTAGCAATGCAAGAAAGAGGATTTTTTAAAGAAATTCCACTCAAAAATGGAAAGATAATAATTTTTTTGTAAGTCACTTCTAGTGGAGAAGAGATAGATCAACCTCTTGTTTTTTTTTCCTCCAAAGCAAATGGCACAATCAAAATAAATCCTCTAGTCCGAGAAAAAAGAAAAAAGTGGAATGGGTGGGAGTATGGTTGGAAGTTGAAAGAAAGGGATGAGAGTAGAAGAAATCAATATAATATATAGCATCATCAGAAGACAATCTCACAATTTTCTGTGCAATCCCAAGAGGTAGTAGATATGCAGTCCTCCTCTTCTTCTAGTAGCAAGTATTTGGCTTCTAATGTCATTTGAAAAGCTTTACTGAAAACCTTCATGGACTATATTCTTGTCTTGACTCGAACCAAATCCTGAAAGCAGCACTTCCCTTTCTTCTTCCTTCTGTCCCCTTTCTCTGAGACACTGTGCTTTCTGGAGGGGAAAAATTCTTTGCACTACTGAGAAGGGAGGGATTATCAAAGGGGAACGAAATAAAGAAAACAGGAGGGGTGGAGGGGGAGAGAAGGAGAGAGAGTATAGGAGGAATAAAAGCAGTTCTTCTCTTTGAAGTCAGACCCACAAGTGCCTGTTCATTTCCAAAGCAGATCAGGCAGAGTCTTCAGGTTTTCATTCTCCATGTAGAATTTGGGTAAGACCCAGAAGATTGTTGCCATCAGGCCAGGTTGGATTCAAGAGGACGGCAATAGTGACAGTGCCCAATGATGCTAGTGCACAAGTGTGAAGAGCTGGTGAACAGCTGGCCAATTTCTCCTCTGCCTGCCTCTTCCAGGCAATGTACTAGTAGGGGATAAACTGTCCAGCAATTCACCAGATTAATCCTTTATAGGGTCAGAACAGGAATAGCTATGCTTAATAAAAAAAACCTCTGACATCTGTCTGGCAGCATCACTTGCTTTTTCATGTTTGAGAATAGGATTGTAAAAGTACATTTTAAAAAACTTTCCCCCCCATTTATCGATTATTGTTAAAATAAAAATCAGTTTTTGATTCTTTTTAGGACTAAAGAGTACTCAGTGTGTAGAATGTGAGAAGAATGTGTATGCATGCATGTATGTATGTATGTATGTATGTATGTATATATAAAGAAATATCTACAGCAATGTTTCTCAACCTTGGCAACTTTAAGAAGGGTTGACTTCAATTCTTAGAATTCCCCAGCTAGCATAGGAGTTGAAGTCCATCCATCTTGAAGTTGTCAAAGTTGAGAAATACTGATCTATGGTATAACTTTCGAGCCAACTAAAAAGGGAATAACAGAACTAGGTGCTGCAGAGTATCATCACAATCAAGGAAATAGTTTCTTCCGATTTCTTCCTTGAGATTAATATATGAATTTATATACTATATTGGCCACTATCCCAGCACTTGGAGCAATATAAAAGCAGGCATTTGAAGCCACAGGAGAATCACATAGTTTGCCAGATACTGCAATGTATTTTGAGAACACTTTTATCCCTGGATAACCTGATCTTTATTATTTTCTCTCTGCAGAATATTGTTTTCAGGATATCAGGAGGAAAAATCCCAAGTCAAATGTAAATTTTAAAAAATGAGTAGAATTTTCTATTTTGATCTTTATTCCAGCAAGGCTCAAACAGAATTTTAGAATGGAAGATTGGTCAGAATAGTCATAACTGATTGAAGGATAATTCAGTTTAGGGAAAATGAATATATTAAACATTTATCAACTTATTAATTTACATACATTTTCATTGAAAAAGAATTTCATATAGAATTAAAACTACAAAAACATAAAAATAAAATTAGAATAGATAAAAGGATATACAGAGATAAAAGATGAACTGAAAATCAGTAAAAGCTAAAGAAAAAGAGAAAAAGAAGATGAATAAAGAAAAATACGTAAAGAAGTATCTTCCAATCTTTGCAGCAGATTTCCTCCCTCCCAAATTACATAATATGTATGGTTCCCTTTTCCCCATAAACAACACCTTTTAATTAGTAAATCTCCAAATCATCAATTCACTTTTGTCCATTTTCAACAAGCCTATAAAGGATTTCTGGTCTTTTGCAAAATATTTTTTTCTAATCAAACAGGCCAATTTAGTCATTTTAGAAAGTTCTACTATCTTAACAGCCCATTCCTCCATTGTGGATATTTCTGTATTTTTCCATCTAAGTGCATATAGTAGCTTCATGCAATTACCATATGTAAAACTAATTGTCCACTAGTCTTTTGTAGTTGGCTGTTGATAAGTCTTGGTTTCTTTAAATTTCAAAATTGTTTTATCAAAACATAAAATACTGAAATATAAGGAACAGTGAAAATACTGGGAAAATAAGGGAGGAATAGGAGAATAGAGAAAAATGTGGAGTAAATGGGAAAAAGAAAAAAGGCACTGGCTTCCTTTTGAGGCAGTTAGAATAAGGCAGGGGTGTCAAACTCATGCCCCACAGGCCAGTTGTGTCATGTGCTGAGCCCGCCCCTGCCCGATTTAGCGAAGGAGGGGAAAGTCCCGATATGTCATGTGACGCCGTTGTGAAGAAGCGAGTTTGACACCCCTGGAATAAGGTAATAAAATAAAACCTCAATTTTTCACTTTTATATAATATTATATACTAGCCATTTCTATAACAACAGATCTATCTAATTGGCAAAACCCAAAATCAAAGTTTCCTTTTTTCCACCTCAACCAAGCACAAAGTCCAAAAGTTGTTTTCAAATAGAAACAAAATTAATTGTGTCCTTTAATCAAAACGATCAATTTAGCCATTTGTGCTAGCTCCAACTTTCACAGCCACTTGTCCATTGTGGAATTCAAAGTGACCGTCCATTTTTGTAATAAAGTAATCTTGCTGCCATGAACATATATAACATCAAAAATCCATTTTTTCAAGTTCTTTATCCATTAGGCCTAAAGAAAAGAATCTGTTTTTATCTTTATATTCACTTTAAGAATCTTCTGTATTAAGATGTGATTTCTACACCAATATTTCTTTGCTTTGTTACATGTCCACCATAAATGATAAATAGTTCCTTCTTTATATTTACATTTCCAATATTCATTTGAGATACCTTTATACATTTTTGACAATTTATCCAGTTAAATACCAACAATATATCATCTTATAAAACTTTTCTTTTAAATTATAATTTAATGTGAATTTTAGACCACATATTCTCCTGTTGTTCAAGCATTACATTATATTCCAAGTCCTTTGCCCACTGAATCATACAATGCTTTACATACTCATTTTCTAAATTCAAATTCAATAACAATTTATAAAACTTAGCAACGTGTTCATCACTACCACACAGTAGGATAACCATTTTTTCACTAAATAAAAATCCATAACTCTTTTTGTCTAGTTTAAATCTTTCTTTCAATTGTAAATATGTAAAACAATGGCAAACATGTCCTTCTGATACTAACTCCTCTTTAGATTTAAAGATAGGGTCAATAATTGAAAGATATTATTTGACCATAAGTCCCAATAGTCTGGCCTCACCATTTCTTTTCTTAAAAAATCTTTGCAGAGAACCTTATTTTATCTTTATTCCAAACTCATAGGATGGCACATTTAACAGAGTAATTATCAAAGTTAACATTTACTTTAATCTTATGATATCATACATAGCCGTGCCATCCAAATCTTAATTCATAGCCCTCTCGCTTGAGTAACCTCTTATTTTGGAAACCTACCCACTCTTTTAGCCAGACCAAATAAGAAAACTCAAAATACAATTACAGATCTGGTAAACCCAAATCTCCTCTTTCCTTAGCACTTTGCAATGGTTTGTATCTAGTAGTGGGATTCAGCCAGTTCGCACCTATTCAGGAGAACTGGTTGTTAACTTTCTAAGCAGTTTGGAACTGCTTTGTTAGCAGTTTGGAACTGCGGTTGTTAGAAGAAATCTCATTTTGTTCTTTTTCCATTTTACAGGGCTAATCCTTGTAAGGAAGGCAGGAAGAGGAAACTTTCTGGTGTTGTTTCTAGCCTAATCTTCATTGCCCTGTTACAGAAACTCCCTCTCCAGTTAACCCTTATTACATTGCAATAGCTAAGACGATGCCCATCGATGTGAGTGAAGTTGAGTTGGCCACACTCACCCAGTCACATTACCACTAAGCCAGCTGGTCATAAGGGCAGAGAACCCGTTGTTAAATTATTTGTATCCCACCACAGTATCTAATTCTTTTTTCCCCCGCTTGCTGTATAAACTTAGAGATGTTCTTTTGTCATTGTTTAAATGGAGCATCGGCTACAAGTATTGGTATAGTCTAAAACAAAAAAGCATCTTTAGCAAAATATTCATCTTAATTACAGAGATTCTACCCAGCAACAATAGTTGCAGTTTATTCCATTTAATAGGTTTTTTAACATTATTCCAAAGAGTGTGAAATTGTTTTGAAACAGTTTAGCATTTGTATTTATCAATATAACCCCCAGATATTTCACCTTTTACTCCACCTTAAAAACCTGACATTTTAGTCAATATTTCATAATCTGATAGTCTTAATAAGCATTGTTGTTGTTTTTTGTTTATTTTACAGCTCGCTAAAGCTCCAAACTTATTTAATTTCTTCATCAAATATTCTATATTAGTTTTTGGATCTTGCAAAAATATAACTAAGTCATCAGCAAATGCTCTCCATTTGTAAACTTGCTTTTCAATATTTATACCTGTTATTTTCTAATCTTGCCTAATATTCCTATTCAAAATTTTCAATATCAATATAAACAGCAAGGGAAATAAGGGGCATCCTTGCCTTGTACCCTTTGAATTTCACATAATTTAATTAAATCTTCATTAATAATAATCTTTGCTTGCTATGACACATAAAACTGCTTTGACCCCTTGAATAAAATGCTCTCTGAAGTCCGTATCTTTCAATACTTTAACATAAAAACCCAATCTAAGTTGTCAAAGGCCTTCTCTGCATCCAAAGATATTAAAGCTGCCTGTTTCTCATTATGATATTGAAATATTCAGTAATGTTCAAAACAGTCTTTACATTGTCTCTTTAACTGTCTTTTTGGCAAAAAGCCAGATTAAACTTCATGAATATACGCCTGTAAAACAGGGGTCCCGAAAACTTGGCAACTTTAAGACTTGCGGACTTTAACTCTCAGAATTCTCCAGCCAGCAATTCTGGAAGTTGAAGTCCACAAGTCTTAAAAATTGCCAAATTTGAACACCTCTGCTGTAATACCTTCAATCTTTCTGCAAAAATTGCAGCAAAAAGTTTATAGTCATTATTTAATAATGAAACTGGTCTGTAGATTTTATATATCCTCAGGGCATCTTGACCCTCCTTTAGTAATAAGTTAATATTAGCTTCTTTTGAGGTTTGAGGCATCTTTATTCCCTATAATACTCCGTTCATTATATCCTTTAGTGGCTGAAGGAATTGATCCTCA